GGGACTGAAGCCCTGTTAGTGTGAGAAATGGTTCGTATGATTTGGCTTGATTTTGGCTATATTGGTTCAGATGAGTAAAACTCATGGGAATAATATTTAGGGCGCATGAAAATGCATTGTTTGTTGTCGGCCTGTATTACTACGGCAAGTATTTTAATAAGATGCAGCCCAACACCTCTGAACATGAACTGCTTCTTTTAAAGGTACAGTCCATCATTTGTAATTGCATTTTGTTCCTCTGAAGCAACAAAAGTGCTCAAAATCTAAAGAAGGGTGCTGAACAACCTGCTGAAGTTTCAGCTCAGCTTCAGCTGTATATTTCGATTTATAATCAAAAGTTGTTGAATCATGTTTTGAATTGGGCCTGAATTCAGCGTCCGAGAAACATTCTCACTGAGCTGATTGCAGCTATGCGATGTCACGCACTGATCCGACGAATTATAGCAACCGCGCGCACGCGCGTGTGCGTCGTGTCAACAAAAAGTAACTGACCGGTACATTGTGATGTCCATAAAAATGTCTGTAAATAAAATAAAAACTGTTGGAAATTTTGAATTAACATTCTGTATTGCTTGATTAATTGAGCAGGTTCAGTGCTTGGTGTGCAGTAACATTTAGATAGCCATACAACTTACTCTTATTTGCATAAATCTTGTTGTGTGATGCATACACGAGTCTTGCAGTTTTGACAACAATTTGCTCACAGAGATGAAATAGATCTGAGGACAAGCATCCAGGTTTTTTTCGGAGCGGTTAATATTTTACAAGGAGAGGTCAGTCGGTCACGAGAAATTCGGTCAAGGAGGTTATTAAGGGTCATTTATTTGAGTCTGATTGTCACTGCTAGATCCTCATCTGGCGCTGATCTATTTTGGTTCACTCTGTCAGATAGGGTCCTGGCATCTCACAAGTTCTGCATCCTGAGTACAGTGATTTTTTGAGCTGCATGTTCATGTGCCTTGAGTAGTAAGTGTTGAGACAATCGGACGGAATTGCACTCAACAGCTTGAACTCAACCCTCCCTCTCTGGCTGGCAATTTCAACAAGGCCAGCCCAGCAGTCAAAATAACGACTGCTTTTAACAGTTGAGTGCTCTCTGCCTTCATAAAGCAGGATTGACTGGCTTTGATTGTTATGAAACCTGATGTACATCTAGCTATGCATTGACTGTAGGTGATTGATAAGCAGGCTGTGCCTACCAGTTACCTGGTTTTGTCTGTTGATGGAATTTGACTAGTCACAGTGCCTATTAAAAATACAATCTGACTGTTGGTGACTAGCCTGTAGTAAAAGGCATGGCAGGGGAACAGGACTGAAGTTTTGACTGTCTGTGTCTGAACATACAAAAGGACGGTTCAACGAAAATGTAGATTGTAGAATGTACCAGTAAGCCGTATGGACTCCTTACACAAAAAGTTGATGGTGTACATGTACCTACATGTACATGTAGACAACTTTGGAGAGCACTGCAGTGATAGGGACACACTTTGTGCACGAACTAGTTCACAGGCGTACGTACGGCGCGAAGTACGTAACGCACGACCTACAATATTCTGAATGCACACAAACACGTAACGGCTTTTCATGAACATCAGGAGTCATCAGCAATGCATTTAAAAGTCTCTCCCAGTGGTCTTTCCAAACTCTCTCTTTCTAGTCTTTTTTTTTTTGGGGGGGGGGAGGGGGTGCAATGAGTCCTTACCATACTGTGTACCTGTCTATTTACACACTACATGTGGATGAAATCGCCTTATGGTGCACTTTTTATTGAAGGAACATAAACATGAACAATAATTGACGAAAGATGGTGACTTTCAAAGTACTTCATGTATGATGCACATGTAGTGTGTTATCTTGAACTTGAAGGAGAAAACCACATGATGTATCACATAATGTACCGACGGTACTCTACTAACCTAGTGCATGTACCGGTACGTGATGGTATGCAAGATTGCAATCTGAATCTTCTATGAGTAACATTGCATGGACTACATTACGTTGCATGGACTAGTACATTTCCAGTATTTTATGTTACTGAGACATTTTTTCAAGGCAGTGCAAGGGGATGTTGACAATTTTGGGATTACACAGTATACGTGTAAAAGTATATTGTAATTGTTCTAAATGTCTTCAATTTTTCATTTTTTCACTGCTTTGGGGTTTATTTGTTCATCCTTACACCAAGGGATTTTTGCTCATAATTTCTGAATTCTCCAAAACTCACCAGGAACCCACAGGCCATGCTCCCCAATCCTACAAAATCCTTGAAATTCCTCCTTTTGGGTTTTGATGGATCTTGGAGGGTCAGGGTCAGTGAGCAGTTGGTTTAAGCTGCATGTGCCCTGACTGGGTTTTAATCCAGATTAAAAACAAGAAGTTGTTTAATTTTTAAAAGTTGAACAAAGAAATTGACCAGAGCGGGGTTTGAACCTGCAACCTCCAGATTGCCGTTCCGGTGCTCTACCAACTGAGCTGTCCAGCCCTATGTTGGCGGTTCCCCGTTTTATCAATATCTTTGTTCAAGGGGCACTAGTCACAAGCCATCAACCCGCAAATGTGTAGCCAGGAATCACGCCCAAAGTCACGATGCTAGCAGCATTAGCAATGATGCAAAGCTTAGAAATTAGCTATTTCTACATGTATGTTCAACTATGAAATTCTTTTATGTAGCATTTAGGATTTTGCAAAGGTGTATAAATTGAGAGATAAAAACTGCAAATAGGCAAGCAGTTCATCTCTGGGTGCGCAGAAAATGTGGAGCAGAAATTGTCCAGGAACGGAGATGAGTATTGATTCAAGTGAGATGGCTTGCAGAGATAACCCCAGAAGCAGATGGGATGTCCGTGGTATGGCACTCCAAAAAGGTTAATACTGGCTAAGACTTTGGCCGGGCATCCCTGGGAAATCTCAACTACCATCCACTGAGGATGATGGCATCTGTTGGATGATGGGTCATGTGGTAGAATTGCGTGTGCGTTTCTGAGAAGGAAAAAAAAAGGGTTTTGATTCTAGAACCTTCAAGAGAAAACAAATTAATGACCGGTGCTTGTACTTTTGAGAGTGGCTGTTTACAGATAAACTTTGTCACTGCACTTTTGAAAACTCTTTAAAATAATGCTCTGGGCCTTGATGAAAGTTACTCTTCCCTTTTTAAAAATGTCAACGAGATTTTTTGGGACATTAAAATTTAAGGGGTAATGTTGTTATTTTTAGCTTCTCTTTGAGATTTTAATGAGGAGTAACTTACACAGAAAGCAAAACAAACCAATACAGTGTGTATTTTATAAATTATGTTGTAAAAAAACTGCAATAACCTTCTTAAATGTATTATTTTACCCAATACTTGTCATTGCTTGTTTTTTTTTCATGTAACTAGCAATGTTTGTATTTTTTATTTTGATTGATGGGGCATTTATGGATTGAAGATGGATTCCTTTAGTTGTATGTAGTTCATGCTACCGGTATGTATGACAGCAGTAAATGACTGCAGATAGACCGACAGTCTGACCTATGACTAAATGCATGGAAGCGGTAAACTCCTTTATTCATGCGCTAGTTGTATTCCTGATTTGCCATGTGTACACCTCGTATGATTTTAAACAGTTGCCTCTCACATTCTCATCAAACGTTGTTGATGTCATGTTGTGAATCGTTGAGTTCAAACAGAAAATGCCATGCAAACAGATCCAGCAATCTCCTCCGATTCCCCAAATGCCGTTAGGAATTTATAAATGCCTCAACTAACCTGTGCCTCGGAAAAACAAAGCGGCTAATTTTAGACACAGCTGTAAAATAAATGCCTTGTTTCCCGTCCTTTCCCCCCTCCGTACGATGGACCTCCCGTGGCCAGATTTCTATCTTTAGCGTGGCGTATAAATGTCATCGCAGCCCTGTGTGATTTTACCGTTTGATTCAGACCCTGGCTTCTCCAATAGTCTGCAGTAGTTTAAAGCAGATCAATAGCTAGCGACGGCCTGGCCTGCCCGATGTGTTTGGCCGGCCACTAATGACATCAGCGGTTTGGGGCACGGGTGGCGTGTTTGGTTGCTAGCTTGCAGGGTTAGCCCCGAGGTCGGCTGGCGAAGCTAGTGGGTGTGACATCATCAGCAACGTCAAACAGAGCCAGCAGTGCCTGTGAGACTGGGACGAACGAGGTACATGTAGAGAGAGAGAGAGAGACAGAGAGTGATGATGGTTTTCTGCCAGTAACGGTGAGCTAACCTCATTATAAGAAGATTGTGTGTGTCAGCCTTGTGCTTGTCTGTGTGTGTACAGTATCTGTGCTGTTGGGTTCTGGTGATGTGTAGGCTACATGCACACAGTGATATTAAGCAGTGTGCGTGGAAAACGCTACGAGTGGAGCAGGGTTGTGTGTATACATACATGTACTGTATGTAAATAAAGAGATTTGATTGTAAAGCAGCCCATTGTTTATGTACATGTCCTGCATACATCAGGGAGACCATTCTCGGCCTAACAGCAATCGCCGCCTCATTCAGTGATGCCGTCTCCGTGACCGCATCTCAGTAACCGCGACGACGGGGATGAATCTTGAAGTGGCCGAAGCCTGTGCGTGAATCGCGTCAGCGTCGCCGACAGGAAACGGTGGCTTAAACCGCAGGGATTACGACTAGGCTTGCTTAGCTAAGAGGGACTGTTGAAGGTCTCAGTGTGGACATTATCGTACTCAGTGAAACAGTCAGTCAGTCATTGACTCTCGCAGTTCAGAGAGTTCGTAAGCTGGCTCTCCGGCTGCAACAAGGAGCCCGATACATTTTCTCGTGCGATTATTTTTTGTACTCGCGATCCTAATTCATAACCCATTTCCAGGGGCTTTCTCGAATCCTCCAAAATCCTGAACGGTATGCCAATCGTACATGTACTCACAAACAGATTTCATTGAAAGTCCAACGTGTCGTTTGTACATGTGTTGTATATACTTGTATACTTGTGATTGTATCTTCACATTGTTCTTATTTTCCCCATTTTTTTTCAAACAGGGTTTAAAGTCCAGTACATGCCTACATGTAGAATATAATTCTATTCAGAACATCGTCTGGTGCCTTTAGCTTCAGGTCTCCCAGGTAAGTTTTGATTTGTATAATAAATGTATATAAATAAAAATTTATATATAAAATAAATTTTTATTATTTTTATGCCCCGCGGCGAAGCCGAAGGGGCATACTGTTTCCGCCTTGTCCTTCCGTGGGTGGGTGGGTGGGTGGGTGGGTGGGTGTGTGTGTGGGTGGGTGGGTGTGTGGGTGTGTGTGTCCGGACAAATCTTGTCAGCACGATAACTTGAGAAATACTTAACATATGAACTTGAAATTTGGTCTGTGTATTGTTCTTGGTAATCCTAAGAGGCCTATTGCATTTGGGGCCGAAAGGTCAAGGGTCAAGGTCACAGTGGCTGAAACAATAGAAATTTTGTCAGCGCGATAACTTGAGAAATACTTTACATATGAACTTCAAATTTGGTTTGTGGATTGTCCTTGGCAATCCTGAGAAGCCTTTTGCATTTGGGGCCGAAAGGTCAAGGGTCAAGGTCACAGTGGCTAAAACAAAAGAAATTTTGTCAGCGTGATAACTTGAGATATACTTTACATATGAACTTCAAATTTGGTTTGTGGATTGTCCTTGGCAATCCTAAGAGGCCTATTGCATTTGGGGCCGAAAGGTCAAGGGTCAAGGTCACAGTGGCTGAAACAATAGAAATTTTGTCAACGCGATAACTTGAGAAATACTTTACATATGAACTTCAAATTTGGTTTGTGGATTGTCCTTGGCAATCCTGAGAAGCCTTTTGCATTTGGGGCCGAAAGGTCAAGGGTCAAGGTCACAGTGGCTAAAACAAAAGACATTTTGTCAGCGTGATAACTTGAGATATACTTTACATATGAACTTCAAATTTGGTTTGTGGATTGTACTTGGCAATCCTAAAAAGCCTATTGCATTTGGGGCCGAAAGGTCAAGGGTCAAGGTCACAGTGGCTAAAACAAAAGAAATTTTGTCAGCGCGATAACTTGAGAAATACTTTACATATGAACTTCAAATTTGGTTTGTGTATTGTTCTTGGTAATCCTAAGAAGCCTATTGCATTTGGGGCCGAAAGGTCAAGGGTCAAGGTCACAGTGGCTGAAACAATAGAAATTTTGTCAGCGCGATAACTTGAGAAATACTTTACATATGAACTTCAAATTTGGTTTGTGGATTGTCCTTGGTAATCCTAAGAAGCCTTTTGCATTTGGGGCCAAAAGGTCAAGGGTCAAGGTCACAGTGGCTAAAACAATCGAAATCTTGTATTTATTCTGAGATCATAGGGATTAGGGATTAATTCATATAAAACCTACAGAAGACACTAATGCTGTCAATGAACATTCCATGTGACCAAGGTACATGTAAGTTGATGTTTAAAGAGTGGTGTTATGTCATGGGAACAGTCACGGTTGCGGGGCATTTGTGTTTGTAAACACACCTGACTTGTTTAAAATATATTTATTGTAAGTCTTTCTAGCAGTGAAATCAAGGATTCTTCAAAAAGTGTATAAGCTAGTGGTGGGAGAAATCAGAGATTTTCAAAATCCGCTTATCCTCATTTTTTTGTCACTGAATAATGGGTATCCGATTTCACCGGAAGTTCCCATTCAGCTCACAGTCATGCCAACAAAAAATGATGAGTAAGACACTGTATGCAATGCCCTCCCAATGATTGGGTATAGTTTGCAGGATTCAGTGACCACTGGGCCTTTACAAAAACACTCCAGAGCTGTAACGATGAAAAGATGGGTGGGAACTCGCTGATGAGTCAAATGGGCAGGCAAATACTCCATGGCAATCGCAATGTTAGCTCGATACGTGAATTTACATGTACCGATATGTATTGTACATCAAGTTTCAAAGTACAGATGTATCGGTACATGTGCGTGTTTATGGTGTGAATCGAGGACACACACGTGCAAGTGCAACGTCATCGATGAATCGAGGACAGGAATCAAATCGAGGACGACCTCGGTTACAAAACGTGTACAAAACCAATGAGAGCTGTTGCAAAAAAGTTGAAGTATAAACAAAGGAAAAGGAAAGAGGAACAATAAAAAAATCCTTGATTAACACCATAAACAAACGTGGGTGTACATGTACCGTACATTGTATGTGTGGTATTGCAGTGTGTTTATGGTGTATTGCGATTGCTTTGGGCACGTGCCATCTTTCACATTTTGCAGGCCCTGGAGCAAACACCCACTGGCATCTCTGGTAGCTGAACAAGTCTGCACACAGAGTGCATCCCTCATTATTAGAGTTCTCCTGAGTTTTTATAAAGGGCTATCTACCGGTACCGGTCTGATCACAAATAACGCATGGATCTACATGTATGGGAAGTGGCTGCAACTGCTTCCATAGGCGCGTGTGTAATTTCCAGTCGTAGCCTAGTAATGCGGACACGGCTTAAGAATTCATAATCCTCTTCAGCGTCATTCTTCCGAAAGGTTGACCCAGTTTTATGACCCCGTTGACAGAACATTTCATTGAGTTCCCCCCATCCCCCCTCCACCCCCCTCCAAAAAAAAAAGTGCTGTGACTTAATTATCTTGACCAAAAAATGGCTACATTGACTTGAATTAAAAAAAGTCTTGAAATTAAAACCCAAGAGCTGTCCTCACATACATAGAGAAAGTACATGTACTGTACATACATGTACATGTGCATGTACATTTGTACATGTACAACTTACACGTGTGTATGCCAGTTGTTCATCAGATATGTATTCCATTGCATTGTCACCGGGAACAATGGTTATGGCCCATTTATTACTTTCAGTTTCACTGCAAAAAAAGCCCCAACTGTTGTATTGTCGGAAGAAGTTTGTGGTTGCACCGTGACTAAAAATGAAATGGTTCTGAGAAGAACTAGAAACGTAATAGCGTGACGTTTCACTTAGTATTCTCTGAAAAGTTCGGTCATCCTTTGGGCAAAATTTGAAGCCACTTTGAGGTAGAACCAGGCTTGCGCTTAGGTAGTATGGGCTCCAATGACCAATAGGGTTACCACAGTGTGTGCATGCCTTTTCTTTAAGAATGCATGCAGCATGCGCACGGACGTAGTTCCACTTAAAAAATGGTTTCTTATTTTGTTCGCCGAATTAGTCTATTCTGACCTACCTACCAACTTACCTACTGAAATGTCAATGTGCATGTAACACCGATTTCTGTATAAGAGGTAGCAAATAAGCCATTTTAAAGAGCTACATGCAAAATTGAAGAGCTACATGCAGGAAAAGAACCAGTTGTCTACTGTTTGGGAGGCTTCTGCTTAATTTGTTTAATGCCTAGTTTGATAGCAAAATGCCCTTGAAAACACGTGGCACATTGAAAATTGTTCCTACTTGTGGAGAGTACTCGTACTTGTACTCGTACTCGTACTCGTACGCATACTCGAGTACATTTTTTTGGTACTCATACTTGTACTCTTGGAAAACAATTTCCTTGTACTCGTACTCATGACAAAGAACTCGTACTGGTACACAGGCTGCATCCAAATCAACTGTCTAGAGCTATTAGGTCTAGGTCCACGCCCATTGAAAATACGGGGGGACACGCTGATAATAGACGTAGCCGTAGCTCTGGAAGCCCATTTCGGACACGGCCTCATACTCATACTCTTGGAAAACAATTTCCTTGCACTCTTAGAATCGTACTGCTACTCATGACAAAGTTCTCATACTCGTATTCGTAGCACAGTACTCATACTCATACTCGTGGCAAATTACTCGCACTGGTACTCATACTCATGGCAAAGTACTCATACTCATACTCGTGGCAAATTACTCATACTCATACTCATGGCAAAGTACTCATACTCATACTCATGGCAAAGTACTCATACTCATACTCATGGCAAAGTACTCATACTCATACTCGTGGCAAATTACTCGCACTGGTACTCATACTCATGGCAAAGTACTCATACTCATACTCATGGCAAATTACTCGCACTGGTACTCATACTCATGGCAAAGTACTCATACTCATACTCGTGGCAAATTACTCATACTCATACTCATGGCAAAGTACTCATACTCATACTCGTGGCAAATTACTCGCACTGGTACTCATACTCATGGCAAAGTACTCATACTCATACTCGTGGCAAATTACTCGCACTGGTACTCATACTCATGGAAATGTACTCAACTACAGCACAGTCACAAACTCACTCCCAGGTTACGCTGCCATCATGAAAAGTCTCAAATCAAACAAGTAAGCATTTCCAAGCTAATGTCACATTGTGGACAGGTGTGCACACACGCCACTACTAATACATCATGATTCAATTGGTACATGGAACAAAAACATTGAGTGGGGGAGGGGGGGGGGGGTGTCGCTGTGCAAGGGGGGGGGGTGGTTGGTTAAGAGAAACTTGTCCAAACTGAGCTGAAACAAAAACAGCCAGACCAGCAAATACTTGCTCGGACAGACGCGCATATCGACGCAAATTACATTTTTTTTCCTCCAAGTGTGAAATTCACCCACGCTGTTATGCATGTCTTGTGGTGGCTGGTTTTTTTCCTTTAAAGGGCATGCTGAACCCGTTTGACATTTCCTATCCAGCCTCTTGTTGATCAGTTTTAGGGATTAGGATGCTGTTGACCACAGAAACTGGCGAAAACAACGCCACATTGAAGTTTGTTTTTTTGAGGGAGGATTTTTTTTTTTTTCATGCAGGAGACCCATAGGCTGATGCTTGGGGGTGTTTTTCTAAAAAAGTCACGACTGTCAAAATTCGGCATTAAGTGCTTTTCAGTTGAAAAATAATTGCAAGATACATGTGGATCACTTTTTGGTTTGCTTGTATTGTGGGGAAATGGAGTTTACATGTTTATATGGTATCCTTTATAAATAAAAAAAAGTCTTACTCTTAAGAAAATATCTGCTGTCATATTCCAGAAAAGTGGAATTTACCATTGTTTGTTGAAAAAACTGACTTTTTCAAATACTGCCCCCGATTAACCAAATTTAGTTAGTCACATTTTGTTTGCAATCTGTTACACATCCGTGAATGGGTGCAAGCCAGCTAGTCTGGTTCT